AACCCCGGAAAACAAACCTTCACAGTGAATGGGTCCCTGTCGTTGTTCCCCGTCTCCCGGTAACGAAACACAGAGCCCAGATCCGCTTTCCGCTCGGCTGCTCGTCCAGCATAGTCGCAGAGACCCGGAACTGGGGCTTGCCCTGGCTCGGCTTCCGAGTTTGGTGCTCCGCCTCGGCCCGAGCTTTTGTGGCGCAGGTGGCAAGCGCATCGGTTGTCAATAAAATATGGTGGCCTAAGTGTCCTTGTGAAGAAACAAGCAGGCAACTAACTAAAACCAGTGCAACCTATTTTCAACTGAACTGAGATCCGAAGAACACCCAGGTACGTATGGCGGCCCCTTTGCAGATCCATATACCGAGCTAACTCTGACATCTCTGAAAATTGAGACGTGCGTTGTCAAAAAAGGCACTTTTGGGACCTGGGGTGTCATGTTGGCTGGAGTTTCCCTGTCAAATGAGTGGAAGGAAAAACAAGTGTGAAGCCACCATTTTGCAGGGTGCCCTCTTGTTTTAGGAACCACTTGGGAATGCATCAAAACCAGTTGGTTTCCTTGGCGTCGCACATGTGAACAAAACCAGATCAAATAGACACTGAGCTTTTGGAAGGGGGGGGGCAAGCTTCTGACACATGGTGTTTGTGGCAAATGAGTCTTTCGCCTCCCATCGCCTCCAGTACTCTGCCAGGTGTGTGAAACACTACCTTTCATTTACAATGGATTGTGGTTAGTTCACTTGCTTTATATCAGAGAAAACCATGCCTTTGCAAACAAAGCTTGGGAAACAACAGCAAGAGGGACTGGGGGCAAGAGCAGGCGAGTCACGCAGTCATTTCATTTTGCCTTCCAGGCCACAGAGTCAAAGAGGGCTTTGGCGCGCTTCGCTCCAGGTGCCATGCGGCGAAGCTTCGTGTTGGTGACGTCCTGCGAAAACCAATGCGAGGACAGTCATAGTCACTGCATTTCCCTTGCTGAACAACATTGCAGACTGGAGACCTTCTCTTTTTGAAGAAACCAATACAAACACAACCAGCTCGCATAGGGATGCCTACACATACAAGGCGCCGTTGCCCAAGTCTGCTTTGCCTGCTTGCAACGAGGTAACTTTCTGCTGAACATGAACGTTAGTGCTGCGCGTTGCATAGAGCAAACATGATGCTAGTGTACATCTTGTCCATCAGATTTGGGACTTGCTTTGAGAATGCAATTCATTTCTTTAATTGAGATGGCCTTTCTGTTCAGCAAACCTGTTCGGTTTTTTTACACAAAAACCTCTGTAGCAAAGGTAGATGTCAACCCCCCCATTCTTTGCAGCCACACAGCTGACAACTGAATCGTGGGTTCGCTTTTGGATTGGTACATCTGCGCCATTGTTGAAATCTTTGCGGTACTTCCACTGAACATCTTTGCGGTTTCTTTGTCCATCTAGGATGTTGGCCAGCAGGCAGCTTCTCTTGCTTGATTTTCTGGGGTAATCCCCTTTTCAAAGGCTGGATGAGCCCGAGCAGCCAACGCATTATGGTTCTCATTAGCCAGGATTGGACAGATGCCACGGTTCTCCAAGGCCAGAATGGGCGCTGGTGGTGGTGATGTTGATGTTGGTGGTGGTGGCGCTGGAACCATGCACACAGAAGCTGTGCTAAATTTGATGTTCAGGAATGACTCAATATTACCATCGCGTGTTGGTGGTGGTGGCGCTGGCGGAACCATGCACACAGAAGCTGTACTAAATCTGCTGTTCAGGAAGGAATGACTCAATATTACCATCGCGTGTTGGTGGTGGTGGCGCTGGAACCATGCACACAGAAGCTGTGCTAAATTTGATGTTCAGGAATGACTCAATATTACCATCGCGTGTTGGTGGTGGTGGCGCTGGCGGAACCATGCACACAGAAGCTGTACTAAATCTGATGTTCAGGAAGGAATGCCCCAATATTACCATCGCGTGTTGGTGGTGGTGTGGCGGAACTATGCACACAGAAGCTGTACTAAACTTGATGTTCAGGAAAGACGCAATATTACCATCGCGTGTTGGTGGTGCTGGCGCTGGCGGAACCATGCACACAGAAGCTGTACTAAACTTGATTTTCAGGAATGACTCAATATTACCATCGCGTGTTGGTGGTAGTGGCGCTGGAACCATGCACAAAGAAGCTGTACTAAACTTGATGTTCAGGAAAGACGCAATATTACCATCGCGTGTTGGTGGTGCTGGCGCTGGCGGAACCATGCACACAGAAGCTGTACTAAACTTGATTTTCAGGAATGACTCAATATTACCATCGCGTGTTGGTGGTAGTGGCGCTGGAACCATGCACACAGAAGCTGTACTAAATTTGATGTTCAGGAATGACGCAATATTACCATCGCGTGTTGGTGGTGGTGGCGCTGGCGGAACCATGCACACAGAAGCTGTACTAAACTTGATTTTCAGGAATGACTCAATATTACCATCGCGTGTTGGTGGTAGTGGCGCTGGCGGAACCATGCACACAGAAGCTGTACTAAACTTGATTTTCAGGAATGACTCAATATTACCATCGCGTGTTGGTGGTAGTGGCGCTGGCGGAACCATGCACACAGAAGCTGTACTAAACTTGATTTTCAGGAATGACTCAATATTACCATCGCGTGTTGGTGGTAGTGGCGCTGGCGGAACCATGCACACAGAAGCTGTACTAAACTTGATTTTCAGGAATGACTCAATATTACCATCGCGTGTTGGTGGTAGTGGCGCTGGCGGAACCATGCACACAGAAGCTGTACTAAACTTGATTTTCAGGAATGACTCAATATTACCATCGCGTGTTGGTGGTAGTGGCGCTGGCGGAACCATGCACACAGAAGCTGTACTAAACTTGATTTTCAGGAATGACTCAATATTACCATCGCGTGTTGGTGGTAGTGGCGCTGGCGGAACCATGCACACAGAAGCTGTACTAAACTTGATGTTCAGGAATGACTCAATATTACCATCGCGTGTTGGTGGTGGTGGCGCTGGAACCATGCACACAGAAGCTGTGCTAAATTTGATGTTCAGGAATGACTCAATATTCCCATCGCGTGTTGGTGGTGGTGGCGCTGGCGGAACCATGCACACAGAAGCTGTACTAAATCTGATGTTCAGGAAGGAATGACCCAATATTACCATCGCGTGTTGGTGGTGGTGTGGCGGAACTATGCACACAGAAGCTGTACTAAATCTGATGTTCAGGAATGACTCAATATTACCCTCGCGTGTTGGTGGTAGTGGCGCTGGCGGAACCATGCACACAGAAGCTGGCTCCCTTGGAGGCTAAATGAAACCAAAGCCGCGGCTTCAATTTGGCGTCCTTTCAAGCCATCCCAAAAAGGGTACCCCAAAAAAGACGAACCCACTCATTTCCAAACTCATAAACTCTACTTGGGAAAAGAAACTGATGAGCCACGCGGGGAACTATCAACAAACTCAATGCCTGTGTCCACACTTTAATCAAAGGATTCCCAGACGTGGTGATTGTCGTCTCTTTGAAAAACAACTAAACAAGCACACATGATTGGGATTGCGCTAACAAGCTACCTCAACAGGGGACATATTGGCTGAATCTGGCAATTTTTGGCCTGATAAAGACGTGGTTCTGCTTGCTTCAAGACAACAACTCAACCGTTCATGACCCAAACGTAGGGTTTTCGGGCAAAAGCTCAGGCACCTGCAACATGTGAAACATATCCCAATTTCGGCCTCGAGAAACTTGCTGCCGTAACTCTTGTCATCTCTGAGTTGCCTGGCAGGGCATGCCAGCGAAGCTGACAGGAGACCGTAGACTCCTACACACCTGGAAGGAAGGGCGCAGACAAATTTCAGGACATCACCTTTGGACTTTCTGCCTCAAGGGGAAGACTCTCCTGCCAGCGCAACCGCCGGAAGATGACCCTCTTGAGAACTAACATGGACCCCCAACAGATTTGGCCCAAAAAAGCGCAAGCACAAACAGGACGTGGGAGCAGCATCTGGCGCATGTCTATGGGTTTATGCGGAACCTCTGTCCCCTTTGCTATGCCCATCGGATCTGCCTCGAAATGGCCTCCTCCTCCTCAAAGCGAGAGCTGAAGTCGGCAAAGAGTCTGCACCCCCTGCCGGGTGAGGTGAGGCAACAAGCGAGTTGAAGAGCGTCTGATGGGCATCAAGCGACTCTGAAGAGACACCTACGAACTATGACTACCAATCACTAGAGCTTCAAGTGACAACTACGGAGTTTCTTTCATTGCCCCTTCCAACATAACACTGACAGAGTGAAATTAGACTACTTGAATTTGGAAGTAAACGGGCCCCACACACACACACACACACACACACAAAACCCTCGTCGACTTCGTTCAAAGTGCCGTGCTAGAGCCATGACATGATGGGAAACCCTCCGTCCTTGCACACAGTAGGCCTGCGTTTGCTGTGACCACAGATTAATTTTGCAAAGGGTGTTTCATTTCTTTGCAAAGTATCCTACGCACACCTCCGTATATTCAGCAGATTTTCCAAGTGCGCCATACATAGTATGTCTTCTCTGATGATCCAAGCCATGTTGATTGCTATGCAATCCTTGTTATCCTTCTCAGGGAATTGAATTAATCAAGCTGGAACGCAGAAGAAACCAATGTGCAAAACAGAAGGCAAGGGTGGGTGGGAGGGGGCGAAGGTTGACAACATAGAGGCAGTAGAAGCACTCAAAGGGGTAGAGTAAGCCAGGTTATAACCCACTTGCCATGGTGAAAGGTTATAAGGTTATAGCTTGGCTTACTAACCATTTACTATGTACTCTGCCCCTTTAAACATGACAACAGGTATAAATAAGGGGCACCCTATCTTGACCCCCGCACATTCCTGCTGCTTCACCAGACTTCCAGAAAGCAAGTTGCAATGGTTGCCCACCACAATAAGCTACTTGATCTGATAGATCTGTCAACTTCTGGTACAGATTCACAGATTCATACCCATGGTATGGAAGACTGCACAACTGGGCGGCAAA